ATGATATACAATCTTCGAGCCAGAATCCCCCCTAAAATATACCCGGTCCCATTGTAGCAATATATTTCATTGTCTTCAAGAAGTCAAGTTGTCTCCACTTCCTCAACAAATCTTGACAAAATAAAATTTTGGATATCGTTGGGAAGGATTCCAGCTTAAAGGACGCAAATATTTCCCATCTATAATAAGCACGTTTTTGCCTCTAAATGAGAAATAAACAGGAAAAATTAATGCTGTGATTGGCTAACCGTTACGGTTTGAACTTACTTTTCGTTTTATTTAAATTTTAATTTCACTATTTTATTTTTGCACGTGGTTCTTTTCAAATATTCTCATTTTTATTCTCATGCTTAGTGATAGCAAAAATTAAAGTGTAAAAAATGTGGTGATAGCACAGGAGAAACCATCCACCCATTTCTACATATCCGTGCATCCAATTCTACCTCCAATATTTTCTAAGCGTTATATCAGAAATGGCTTTCTTCATACAGAGCCGTGGTAGCTCAAGGGTACGTAGCGTAAATTCCACAGAACTCGAGCTACCTGTTTTCGAACCACGCCGTCGGTACTGAAAATGGTAATTTTAATTTTAAATTCTTATTTCCCACACTCTGTGAGGTGAAGAAAAACATTCCAAAAAACTTGCATGTTAAGAAATAATAAATATTTCGAGGACATGTCAAGTCCGACAACACGCATTGGACAACACGCAGCGGGCACTTGTCCTAATTCATAGACCTTGAGAGGAGATATAATCTACTTCCTTGAGCCTTACGCCCCGATGAAATGTATATAGGATGCAATTTTAACTTCTTATTTATAGCTTTATCTGAGACGGGCAAATTATGCATCGCCTCCTTTCTGACTCCATATAGGTGTAGCTTACGAATTAAATAATTGATCAGCTGTATGGAAATGAAGAAATTGGCGTAATAGAGCGTAATTTATATATAAAAATCTAATTAATTTTAGCTTAAATCGGTGATAACTAACTCGTTAAACTACACAAGTTGGATTGATCTATTTTAATTACACTACCTCACGAGGGAATGAACTTTGAATTTTAATAATTAACGAGAAGTAACCATCCATTAATCTCAAGTCTGTTGATTTACAGAAATTATATCAAAATGTTCTGAATAACGAATTAAATCTTATAATATGAAAAATTCAATTCGTATTTATAGCCGATCTGTAGTTAAATGATCTCAAAAACATAATATTTTTCCATCGTAGACTGAGATTTTGTACTAAACCTTTGCGAACGACTTCTATTTCTATTACTGTCATGAACACGTAGAAAAATGTTATTTTGGGTACAAAAATATTACAATATGAAGGTCAATATGCTTTATGTGTCCCGCCTGGTCTCGAAATCAAACGATTTTTGTTAAATGTCCCTTTAGAATTGCTAAAACCTATCATGTACATGATCACTATCTCCGTCTTTTATATTTGGTGACATTCATACTTACTATATATTTTTAAATAAAAAAAAAAACATATTGAAGTTACAGTAGTACCTTTGAATAAGATATAATAAAATATTCATACACGATGTTAAAAATTATTACTAAGATATTACTTACCGGTACAGGCTATTAAAGTCCACTGCTGAACATAGGCCTCCCCACAAATTGCCTTAGAGGGATATTTTCCATAGATTGTAACGTGGGTTGGCATCATCATCATAATCATTACAGCCCTTCACAAGTCCAGTGCTGAACATAGGCCTCCCCACAAATTGCCTTAGAGGGATATTTTCCATAGATTGTAACGTGGGTTGGCATCATCATCATAATCATAAGCTTAAAGTGAGTGCTGAACATAGGCCTCCCCACAAATTGCCTTAGAGGGATATTATAGTAGGGTGCATCATCATCATTAGAGCCCTTCACAAGTCCACTGCTGAACATAGGCCTCCCCACAAATTGCCTTAGAGGGATATTTTCGATAGCTTGTAACGTGGGTTGGCATCATCATCATCATCATTTACAGCCCTTCACAAGCCCACTGCTGAACATAGGCCTCCCCACAAATTGCCTTAGAGGGATATTTTCCATAGATTGTAACGTGGGTTGGCATCATCATCATAATCATTACAGCCCTTCACAAGTCCACTGCTGAACATAGCCCTCCCCACAAATTTCCTTAGAGGGATATTTTCCATAGCTCGTAAGGTGGGTTGGCATCATCATCATCATCATTACAGCCCTTCACAACTCCACTGCTGAACATAGGCCTCTCCCAAGTAATGCCACAAAGCACGGTCCTGGGCCACCTGCATCAATCGACTTCATGCATATTTTACCAGGTCGTCACTCCATCTAGTGGGGGTCGCCCTACACTACGCCTACCGGTACGAGGCTGCCACTCGAGAACCTTTCTTCCCCATCGGTTATCGTTTCTTCGAGCTCTATGGCCGCCCATTGCACTTAAGTTTAATCCGTTGGGCTATGTCGGTCACTCTGGTTTTACTGTGGATATGCTCATTTCTGAGTCTTGATTGACTCAGAAATGAGCATAGACGCAGAGAAACTCCGAGCATAGCTCTTGGCAACAACGTATGTTTAATTCATTAATTGAATTGAATTCTAGTTAAAAAACTAAGTAAGTTTGAAATTTCGAATTTTTACTTTCATTTCTTAAATGTAAATCATATACAATACGTCATAGTTACGTTCCTGGCAGTAGAATATTCTATGTTCAGAATATATTATGCAATAAAAATCATGTCTCTTTGAACATATCGCAAAAATACCGGATGTGCTTTTTTGAAATTCTTCACAGAGAGAAGTTGAAGCGAATGATGGAAATCCAATAAGACTTCAGGTTAAATAGATTTTCGCAATAGCGCAAAATATCTGCACTAATACTATACAGAGTCGAGTTTAAAAACTTATAAGCCCACAGCAGCTTTTGTTCATGTATACGAGAGATGTTTGTATTTTATCTCTTTTATTACGCCCATAATTATCGTCAGTAATCAAAACATATCAATACACTTCTTTGTTAGCCTCTTACAGTCAACTACCAACAGCTGAACATGGCCAATGTAGGAATTACTTTCCTTAATCGCCAGCTAAGCAAGCGGTTTCAGGATTCATAATGATCACATATTACGCAGCTTTCCACCTATGGAAGGTATACAATCATATAGCAGATATCATGAAGACAAGACATTTCCCATAGTCGCTTCTTACGACATCATGCGATGAAATGAGGTTATCGTATATTTTACACCACTACGACTAGAGTAGTCGAGCTGTGTATATCAGCTAATGAATCTACTCCTTTCCTGTAAGTTTTACGAAAGACGAAGCAAACAGTTTGATTCAAACGCATGGAATATCGACAGCAAAACGAAGGAAGTTTAAAAATTAAGTAGTGGAAAAATTACTGATAATGTAATCGACATTAAAAATTGTTATAAGATTTTTAACCTTAATAGAAGGTCGGCATTCAGGAACAATCACATACTTGCCTCATAGGAAGGTCGCCATGAACAAAATAAAACTCAATGTTATTACAACACACGATATTCTAAATATCGAAGTTTAAGAGGAACGATGAGATAACATTAAAATTAACAAAGGGAAATAATAAGCCCGAAGTAATTTAAATATCTATAATTACATCATACAATATTTACAGTAATTTGAATTCGGTGCTTTTTGGATAAAATACAAAAATTTCACAATATATAATGTCATTAACTATCCTACAGTAACATTAGTCGTGGTAAAAACGTGAAAGTTCACATTCGAAATATCACATATATTAAAGCATATTTGCGCAAAATAAAACCAGTCACAGTAACTAAAATTCATTATTCAATATCTTAAGAGTATTTCGATGACATTAAAATAAAAAAGAGTACACAAAAATATAAACAACTTGAACTCATTACAGTATAGTTAGGTTTTCTAGCTTAGAAATTTTATTGTCATATTTACATATTATATTCGTAGGCTAAACGGTAAACATCGTGAGTAAGCTTGCATATCAGAGAAATTAATATCTTTCAACGACATGCAGAATTTGCTGCCAGGTACTTAGGTAGCACGATGAACTTTTTCCTGCTTTTATATTTATTAAGTCTCCCAGAATAAATACTAGAGACCATTCGGAAGAGGAACATAATTATTTTTAGTGAGAAAAAGTTATTATCTACATTAAAAAGTTATAAATTACTGCTTTGTATTAGTCTCATTGTGGGGGGTCTACATTAAATGCAACACTAGCACGCGAATTTCCATTGTTTTAAAGAAGACCGCTATTCCCTAGTTCATGGTTTCCTTCTTACGACTTCCATGATGGATCAAAAACGACTGTGAATTAATTGCAAACGTAAACAAATAACAGGTTTTTTTTGAGCTACGAAACGCTCACTAAGACAGATCACTTGCCGCGATAAATTGACAAGCTTTTTTATTATTTGCACAATGAGAACATGTTTTCGTCCATTGATTTTCGTCCATCTCAAATATAGTATATCTAAAGTTTGATAAAGTAGAATGATAGTAATCTATACAGCTAGTATGTAGGATTAATGGTAAAAGAATTTGAACTTCGTAATAGCGCGCAACTTTCTGGATTATGTAAATTTTATAATTTTATTTGTCACTAACGCGTAAGTATTAAAATATAGAGACTGTAATGTATGGCTGATATTCGACTAATATATAATATTGATTGAATATTATATATAAGTCAAATGTGGTTTATTAAAAAAGAAATTATTTATTGCAGTTATTAGTTTCCAAATTAACAAGGAATATTTTGTATATAAAGATACAGAAACACTTTAATTATCAAGAAAAATAAAAATATGTACACCTTTAAGATATCTACACTAAGTCATATCTACTTTAAATAAAGCTATCATACAGAAGCATTGCTATTTTTCCTTTTTAAGAAATGCTTACTTCGACGTCTTCATGATAAAATAAGCTCGACGTGTTCGTAATAAAAAAGATTTGTCTGGAAAGCTCATGTTTTTAGTGATCCTTTTTATTTTTATTGCCTCCGCTTACAATCTTCAATAGTCTTACAGCTGGAGCTTCGAAAGCTAATGATATGGCAAATGATGCCAGAAACGCCATTACTGCATAACCCGCGTATATAGTTAACTGAAAAATAAAAAATAAGGTATTAATTAATTTTAATAATTAGCGAAATTTAAAACTCTTTTAAGCCCCGATGAAGACATAGAGCAGATATGTTTGTGTGTGTGTGTGTGTGTGTGTGTGTGTGTGTGTATGTGTGTGTGTGTGTGTGTGTGTATGTGTGTGTGTGTGTGTGTGTGTGTGTGTGTGTGTGTGTGTGTGTGTGTGTGTGTGTGTGTGTGTGTGTGTGTGTGTGTGTGTGTGTGTGTGTGTGTGTGTGTATGTGTGTGTGTGTGTGTGTGTGTGTGTGTGTGTGTGTGTAATTTAAGTTATAAGCTTTGGTTATACGTTATGTTATTAATATAAAACGACACTCACCACTATTGAATTTTGTAGATGTAATGGACCGTCCATCAAGAAAGACGTGTATATCATAATTGTAGGGTGCACGAGGTAGGCGCAGTAGGTGAGCCGGCTGAGTGGGAGTAGCCCGCGGTATGACAGCGCTGAGTTGATGAGTCCACCATACCCACAGCAGCAGGAGATAGCTATCCAAGCTAAAGCGACTCCCCAAGCTGAAAATCAATTACAAGTGCGTCAAAAAATATTCAATATGGATCAGCAGTACGAAATCATGATGGAATTCGTTATAAAGTTTGGTGTCGTTAAATTCAGTAAACGTATAAGCATCGATAAATGGATCGATAGAGTTTTTATATTTTATATTCAAGTCCTTCATGTATTTACCAGTGGGCTTGGAAGCCTAAAAATAGCCTTGTTGATAACGATTATGTAATAGTGGGATTGTTTATACCGGTATTTCAAATTTACAAGGTTCACGAAGTATACAAGGTCTCTCTATTACAAAGTTATTTTTTTTTACCAAACAAAGACTTCACAAAAAAGTTACAAAAAGCATAGTTAATAATATATGCTTGTTATGCTATGCTATATATGCTATGCTAATTATATATTTTCACAAATATTTTGTAAATAACTGTACAACCTAATTTTTATTGTATGGTACTGTGAGAAAAGTTCTCGCTACGCGAAACAAGTGCGCTTTTATTTTCTATTCTATGTATTTTCTTCTTATCTTAACCCATTCACCGTCCCGTGTACTATATAATATAGTTCATTGATTTTGTCTTACTATTGTGTTTGACAACCGGACTGTGAAAGTGTTAATAAATCAAGTCAGGGTCTGCCATTAACGTTCGAATAGCTTTCTACAGACTTTAAAACAAGTGAATTTTGTGAATTTATCACTAACTCTTCTTACGCTGCTTCTCAGTGCCAGATTACTGTTGTTATGTTACCAGATGTTTATACCCGATAAAGTTTAAATATTTACCAAATTTTATATTTAATTATGTATACCTAATAAATAATTCACATTTACCTGTATGTCCAATACTGACATAGAAAGCTGTAGGCCAAATTTCGAAATAACCGTCAACCATGCCAAAGATGAGACTGGCTATTAGCACTAAAGAGCAAGGCCACGCAACTGTGACTAACCAATATGGTATCTTTACTTGGCATTTTGTTTTATGCAAGTACCATCCGACGATCATTCCTATAAAGTTAAAAAACGTATTAAGACAAAACACTTTTTACAATAACAGCAATTGCCACTATTAGGCAGGATGTAAGGGAGATGTACTAACATTTTTATGTATGGAAAGACGGTCTAGTGATTGACAAAATGGCGGCATTCATCATCGAAAAATAGTGAAAATAAAGTGAAGTAATCGGCTACCTACTACAAGACACTGGCTGTGCTTATCGCTGAGAGGGCTTTTTAATGGCAGGGACGTGTCAGCCGTGCCGACCCAATGCGTGTTGACGGACTCCACATATCTATGTAATATTTTAGTTTCTCAGAAATGCAGATTTACAAAACGATGTTTTCTTAACTTTGTGGAAAATAAGCACTTAAAATTGCGATCGATGCTGAAACTGGTGCTGGTACCGGCATGGATCAAACTCGACTTGCTCGCATACTAAAGTAAAGTTAGGGACTTAAGCATTCATGCGTCTAAGTTCGTTCTTTCATTCTTTAATAACAGATTTATAAAAATTGTTCTTGATGATAATAATATTTTCGTATACAAAATAATGTGCCTATCACTCGATCTTATCCGATATACGATAGAAGAAAATTATTCTAGCGTGGTTTTGACCTGGACTGGTAGTAACAATCTATAGGTTAATGAACATAATAATGATGTCTTCATTGTCGTCTTCGTCATTCGTCAGGGAATAATACATATTAATTATGGTCCTTTTAACTGAATGTTGTTCACTGTAGCCGCTCTTAATGACAGATGTGCAGAAGAGGATATTATTGCATGAGAGTGTGCGCAAAATCAGGTACACTCTCATTCTTGAGGGTAATAGATCTGGGAGAAATCTTGTTTTTTTGTAAATTATATTTAGATACAAATTACAAACTAATGAAATATGAATAAAATTTTTCGATCTCCTCGATCATCATTTTTCGTGTTTTAAAAAAAATATACTAAAAAACGTGCTCCAAATAATATAGTTTCTCACGAAAGAAGGAAAAAAAAGGAAAAAAGAGTCAGACCGGAGACATTCGGACTCGAACCGGCATTTCATGATTTCAGCACCGCCCGTTATCTGATTTAAGCTGTTGAAGTGTAACCTTTTAGACATCGGCAAAATTTACTTTCGTATTCTAATGGTATTGTAGCAGTTATTCATGTGCTAAAAACATAGATAAAACGACATTTTCTAAAATTTTACTACTGCGTTGTAATTTGACATTGATATAAGTATCTGGGATGAATTTCCATAAAATGAACGTTTACAGCTTTATAAAAAGGATTGATTGAAACAATAAAACTCAAAGCTGATCATTTTTACGTGAATTGTTTATAGGCGATGAGATACAACCCAACTTACCGACTAAGTAGGGTCCGATCCGTGACCACGGCTTATCGTAAAGTTGATCGAACATTTCAAAGGGTTCTTGTATCCGAACTTTATATTGGTGGGAAACCGATACGTAAATAGTGGTCGCCCAAGAACTTGCCAACAGCATCAGCAACGATATTACTGCAAACTTTATATGCCTGTAGAAATAAAAAACGCGTCATTTTTACTATTCAGACTATTAAGCATTTAAAATAAGGACTGTTCACGAATTGTGAATGATATTTTATTAGCAAAAATCTCACCTAATGAATATCGTAAAAATTTACTAAGGGAAGCTTCCTAAAACTTTACTATAACCATTCAAAATGACTTGTGTTGTGTTCTGGGAAAAATTACCAGCCAGAATTTTTACTTTTACAATCCGGTATAGCATTTCCTTGTGTACTATTTATAATTGTACTGTTCGAGTTTTTTTTCATTTCGAGATGTCGGATCAAGTTTTACTAATTTGCAACTTGTTGTTTAAAAATCCTTATTATCTATATCTTATATCTCTTATTAAGCTTTAGAAACGTTTAAAAATGGATTCTAATTTGACTTTTTTTAGTTTATTTTATGCAATATCTTCGCCAGTGGTAAACTGATTTTCGTCAGTCGTTTTTTTATTAAATAAGTTTTGCCTCAATTTAATCACAATAAAATTTGAAATAAACATTCCAGTAGTTGGAAAAATAGGCGACGAAATATTTAGAATAAATTTATATGACATTCTGGTTATCTTGCATTTACGATAATCCTTAGTCGACTCAAAAGATTAAAAAAATGAAGCTTTAAAAACGTTAGAATAAAAACAGTCTTATTCTTTGGAAACCATAATAATATTGCGCATACGAAAATAAATTGTCATATTATATGCTAAACATCTTGTTTAGCATATAATGTGTGAGAAATAATTTATTTCTTGTTCGGTTCTACTTTTGTATTTCAACGTTTATTTATTAAAATTAAATTTAGCCCGAAAACCTGATATTTAGTTAACAACATATGACATTCCAGACAGTAAAATTATCATGTAGTACACAAGCGCCTTTAGAACATCAAGATTGGTCATTTGAAGCAAATCAAAGTTGTTAGACTTTTCGGAAATTCAATATAAAATCCTTAAACTAGTCCAGCAGTACTACCTATACAGGAAAGGTATCTGTATTCGTATACTGTTACATAGAAAGGAAAAAAGAAATGGATACTTACTTGACCGATATCAATAATAAAGTTATTCCTACGACATAGAACTGAGTATCGTTTGCCATATACCATGACCATACCATACACATTTCAGTTTTTGGGAAGAGGTTGTTGATATACAACAAATTACGCCACCAATATCGATCGCATGTGATGTGGTCGAAGATGCCTGGCTCGAACACCGTACGGTCGTGGGTATACCGAAGTGCCACCTCACTTAAACCAATGACAAACGCATAGGCAGGTGTTAACCTTACTACACGATAACACAACATAACAAAAAATGATTTTATCATTCTGAAAACTTCTCCCTTAGAGTATACACTGGTCTTTGGCATTTCTGACAAGTCTTCGTAAAACGACTGCTGACTTATTACGGACACCGATAAAGCGGAGTTTGTAAACCCGTTCGTGTTCTTATTAATATCAACGTTTAGTTTCTTCTTCTCCTTTGCAATTCGACGTTCAGCTGCTTTATCTTCACTCCTTAAGAAGAGAACCGTTACCAGTAGCCCGCTAAAAATAAAAGCAAAAAAATAACGCATCAAACTCTATTCATCGATATTATTATTTTTAAAATATACAAGATTTTATAGAATATATTCACAAAAATCTCCATTTTATTTCTTTCTTTGAACCAATAGAACTATGGGCTATGCTCGGGGTTTCTCTGCACGATAAACTAAGAAATGATGATATCCGCAATAGAACCAGACTGACCGACTTAGCCCAACGGATTAGTAAGCTGAAGTGGCAATGGACCTCGAAGAACCGACAACCGTTGTGGAAAAAAGGTTCTCGAGTAGCAACCTCGTACCGGTAGGCGTAGTGTACAGTGACCCCCCACTAGATGTAGTGACGACCTGGTAAGACATGCAGGAAGTCGTTGGATGCAGGTGGCTCAGGACCGTGCTTTGTGGCATTTCTTGTGGGAGGCCTATGTTCAGCAGTAGTTTTGTGAAGGGCTGATGATGAACCAATAGAACAACGTTTGACCAAATTACCTAATAGCGTAAGACATAGTTACTTAAAAATGCTTATTTAATTTTACCTGTGGACTGAGGATACTTTGTTTTATTATATTTGTAGCTCAAGTCTACAACTTGAGCTACAAATACCTTTAATATTACTACCGTAATTAATATATTGAATTTTGTTCTTTCTTTGAATATAAGTCAATCGTTTGCGTACTCCCAATATAAACAACTTTCTGCACGTTTTATACGCTGCAGCTACATTATGGCTGTAGCACGAATGGGTCGGACCACGCTCTCACAGAATACCAGCGTAAAATAGCAGTTTAATACTGCTGTGTTTCGTCTGGTGAGTGTATGAGATCCGGAGATCCTTTTTTATTATAAACGAGGTAAGCCATCTTAGTCTTCAGGGGTGACAACGCATTGATTCCTACTCGAGAATAAATGTAGATGTCTATGGGCTACAGCATTCACTTACCATCAGGTGGACTGCGTGATCGTTTGTCATCCTTATTCTATAAAAAAAAACGTCTTACCGTGACCCCATCTTATAGGGGCGAATCTGCTTACCGCTTAAAGGTTATCAAAACTTAAAAGGCAAAGAATCGAATACCTTTCCTTGACTGTGGATTATTGGTTCTTTAAGCTATTAGCAGGCACATCATCACGTTAGCTTACTTAGATTTAAGCCTATCATCTATGATAAACAATAGAAAAATCTTACCTGATGAAAAAGAACGTATCGACGCAGTATGACGCATTACCCACGGATTGATACAAAAAGTTTCTCTCAGTTACAACCCTCATTGTCTTATTGTCTGCGATGTAGAACACGGTCATGTATGTGTGAACCATTATCACCCATATAACTGACATGAACCTAAAACAATACAGAAGATTCCTGGTTCATTAACAATAAATCACATACCTTTATAGCACGTTTCGTTTCAAATATAACAAAACTATGATTAAGATAATATTTTTGATTTAAATTGATGATTAATATTTTCGAATTAAGATGTTTGTTTAGAAAGGATAAAGTTTCGAGCGCATTTCATTGTCCTAAACCTACTTACCTACATTAATATCTAAAAAAGTCCTACTGGGCTTCTAGATGGTTCTCCCTAGGATAAAGGCTTTTTCCGAACCAGTGGTAAAGTATAAAGAAGTTTCAATAGCTATCCTTGTAATCTATATTGAATAAAATTTACTTTATTCTATGCTATCCTATTCGGTCCTAAATTTAGTTTGATCACATTGTGTTCCTTGGCCGTTCGTTTTTACGTCATTATCATTAATATCGTTATTTCTAAATCGATTATGCGAATTCGCATGTACTTGCTCCATTACTATTGCGAACGCTTTTAATAGATACCAATGTCTCCATACGTTAAATGATGTGGCAGCAATACCTAGACCATCGTGAAAACATAATATATATTAGTGTGTGTTGCTGAGTGTGAGATAAGATTACCAACAACAACAACGTAGATCCATTTTCGGTAATTCAATTCTTGACTAAGCAAGTAGCAAGACTTGACTCGTCCAATTTCGACTAAGCACAATGAACATGCGCTTTCCGGTTGCGACCAATGACTTGCACTTCTTAATTCAATTTAATCAAGTTTCCGCTAAGCGGCGCTTGTTTTTTCTGACCTACGGTACTAATCTAAACCATCCAATTAAATTTATTGGAGTTGATAAAAGTCGATGTTGGATTAATAAACATAAAAAACATCTGACAAGTGGCCATTTTTCTTTAGTGAAAGTAGTATACTATACTACTAGCTTTTTTCCTGCGGCTTCAATTTAGAAACTAAAAAATTAACAAAATTGGATCACTTGTAGAGTCACCTAGGGATATGTTGAAATTTGGCTATATAATAAGCTACAGTAACACGTAAGTGAGCTTATCAAAATTGCATTAATATCATACGTCTAGCAACACCTTTTTGTATCGGGCATGTCTTTCGATGTGTCTTTGTGAAGTGTAAATTATCCTGGTGCGTTATTTACATTTATTCATAATTAAAGTTAATATAGTTTTAACAAAATAATGTTGCATATAAAAGTATTTTATTAAAACCCGGTACAGTTTTTATTTGCAATATTCGATTCATTGATCCCATTAAATATTGATTGTCACGATAAAATAGATGCCGGTATTATTTACGTTTAAGTAGACTGAAATTTCATGAACGTAGTTCTATTTACGTTATACATGTGAGAAGAACTATATTCATGAACAGGTGCAGAAATACATAGAAGATGGGCAGTCAAAATAATAAAAGATGCAGTTAGTAAACCGCTGGCCACTACTGCAAATATCCGGCCTATTCGACAAACAATGGGTTAGGACTATAATCAGCAGTGGATAGCAATATTAAAAGTAAAAAAGTAGCAGCATTGATACATCCTAATCCTGGGCAAAGGCCGCAGTGAGTTTTAGGACAAAAAAGAGTTTTCACTCCAACGCATGATAAACGACTTCACATATACCATAAAATAATAGACGAAATATTTTTTTAACTTCTTAGATATGCAGGTTTCCTCGCGATGTTTTCTTTCACCACCGAGAAATTACAGTAAACTGACACATCAAATTGCAATTAAAATATGAGTGCTGTCGGTGCGGATTGAATTTGTGTTGCTTACGTACCTTCTATGAAATTAACGTTTGAAGCGGTTCGATTACCGGCTTTGACAGATGATTTTCAAGATTCTATCAGTGCAGTTTCATTCATGGTTACAATAAAAATAAACCTTTTTTTAAAATTTGCTGTCTTTGATATTCAGATAACTTTTTCGCAAGAGCCTGTGCATTTACTAATGTGGGTTATGAAACCGGGACTATCACAAGAATCTTAATATGTCTGAGAATATGAAAGCTATCTTAATATAGGACAAACTGTTTTACAAATCTCATTAAAAGTTAATGTTGCTTACGTGCCTTCTATGAAATTAACGTTTGAAGCGGTTCGATTACCGGCTTTGACAGATGATTTTCAAGATTCTATCAGTGCAGTTTCATTCATGGTTACAATAAAAATAAACCTTTGTTTAAAATTTGCTGTCTTTGATATTCATATAACTTTTTCGCAAGAGCCTGTGCATTTACTAATGTGAGTTATGAAACCGGGACTATCACAAGAATCTTAATATGTCTGAGAATATGAAAGCTATCTTAATATACGACAAACTGTTTTACAAATCTCATTAAAAGTTAAAATTATAAAAGGAACTTACATACGTTTTACAAATGTGGACAGGGCTCCTAATTACCATAGTGCTAAATAGCGGTGATCACATATCCACATTTTTTTTAATCTACTCAGACATCAAGGTTTCCCCACGAAGTTATTCTTCACCACTTCACTGAGTACGTGAAAAATAAGCAAATAAGTACAGTTTTTTTGTTATGAGAGAGTATAGATTTTTTTTTAAATAAAACTGATAAGAAGCTTTTGCACGATTGTGGACCACACCTAGCTATTAATTAGTCATTCAAAGATATTGCGAACTTAATACAAAAAGACGTTGGTGAAATATTGCTATGTCTATAACCAACCAACATATTCAACTAAAGACCCTCTCCCTAAATCACAGTTTTGTGCATACAGTTTTGTTAGTAATTTTGCTAAAAGTGACAATTACGATAAATCATCCCGTTAGTGGCCACCGGTCTGGATATTTTAAGTCGGACAATTTTGAAGCTGCAATAATATTCAATAGAAATCTGTTTAATTTCATCAGTTTACTTATTATTAGTTTATTTAAAAGTAAAGTAGAGGTGTTCTTATTAGATTCAAACTATGAAAACTAAAACTCTCTTGTACTCATCAGCAATATGTTGTTAAATTGCGACTGCGGTGACCCAACCGCACAACAAAGCCGCAAACATTTATATAATACATAAATTAATCATAATGTGATGTAGATTCTATTAAAATTCTGCTTTTGTCAAAAGTACGCTATAAGCGCTGTTAGCCGTGTGTAATAAATACATTTTACGATATAACAATATCAAGAAATAGCAATGCTGTATTGATGTTGTGTTAACATCGCCAAACGATCTCTATTTATTGATTTGGTCAAGCTATATCATGATATAGTCAACAAAAAGTTTAAAATGTAAAATTCACCCAACTATCGTCTACTTAAGGATATTATTAACTCTAAGCCTTGGCCAATACGTATGTCCGGTTTCTGATGATATTAATTCTGTTAGCCAGAAAGGGTGCGGGCTGAGCCAATACCTATGTATTGAAAATATTTTTATTTAAACTATAAGGAAAATGAGAGTTTTGCAATAATTTCATTTTCTATCAGTTTATTTATAGATTATAAAGAAACTAATACGTACTAAAACTTTTTACAGATTAGAAACTAAACGTAAAAAAATTATAAATCTGAGATCTTTCATCTCAGATTTTATGTTATATAAAATGAAATAAAATAACTGAACAATTCACGTTAGAATTTTTAAATTAATTATGAATTTAATATATAAGTTATTTATTTTATTTAGGTTATTAGTAATTTGATGCAAAATATTACTACTTTTTGTAGTTTACGTTAGATGGCACTGTTTTAAAAAGTGAAACGTAGATTGTTAGCGTAGTTCAAACGAATACGCAGTAGTTAAAACTAATTTAAATCTTTAAATATAAATGTTATTTATTAATAAAACACATCTGACATATAAAATAGAAATTAACATCTTTAGGAACAAAAGTACTTAACCCTCCTTTTTTGAAATTCCGTAATTGGATAAAATGTAGCCTAAAAGTTGCCCCGGGTCCCAAACTACCTATACACAAACTTCAGTCATTGAAATCCGTCAAATTTTTTTACGTGAATCGCAAATACACAGACAGACAGGCAGACAGACAGACAATAAATCCAAAAACCACTAATTTGACTTCATTAACCTTTATTTTTAGTCGCCTGTACCTGTTTTTTTTTAGAAAATATTAGAATTACAGACACGACTTTTCTACATATTTATTATATAAGGATAAAAAAATAATAAAAATGTAAAGAATATGAAAATTATTAAAAGTAAATTGAAATTATAGAACATTATTCAATTCAATGGAGAAGAAGGCTGGGTGTGCTACCATCTGCTTGGGATCCTATAATTAACAAAATTAAATCCCGGCACCAAGTATACAACTGCAAAACATCAAGATACGCTCATACTGCGTGGATCGGACCATAAATAAATAATGTTAATCTGGAGGTAACCGTGCTTAAGTATGACATTGAGACGTTGAACACTTCAGTCTTTCGTGACACTCCAATATCAGGCCCCGTGACGATGGGAGCTGTAAAGTGCTCGAAATGTCGAGAATATAACATAAGTTAATATATGCGATAAAATCTGCAAAAACTAGTTTTATTAAAAAAAAAGTACTTGATAATAAATCAAAACTACCTCATTCCATGTAAACACGTGAGTGCTCCATCACTTGGGCGGTGTGTGCTGAGAATTGCTCGACCATTTGAAAGAATTGAAAAAGATAATAAAATCTCAGACCATACACCTGAAAAAAATTTAATCGTTAAAATATTGTTTAGTGTATTTACTGCTACTCGTTAAAGTAATCGAAGAAGTCAGCAACATAAAAAAGTCTAAATATGACAGCCAATTATTTATAAAATTTTATCTAGTTATACGACAGTGTGTCAGCCAAGTGTCACACACGAATGATTGTGGGCCACTTTAGAACCACCCATAACTCAAAAAGTATTAGGCCTGACCACTTGTAATTAATCTTTTAGTTTTGCATACCTAATTGAATACTTAGAATCCCAAATTTATCTACAATAAACCTAAGTTCTTGAGTTATTAAGGTCTCAAAAGTAACATTTTTATCACTCACTGTTACACAATTAAAAGCCAAAGCCATTTCTAGAATACTTAGAATCTTTAAATTTATAAGTAACCCAGAATATTGATCATTGTACAAAAGGGGAAAGTCTGAAAACTACAAATTATCGTTAATCGATATCGAAAGATGTTCACAAAGTAATTGTTGCGGTTGGTTTCAAGAACAGTAACTACTTACTGAAAATAACCAGACTAATAACTTTGCCAACATTTTATTCTTTTATCTTAAATTAAAAATAGAAAATAGTGAAGCGTAAGAAGAAATTCAAAAATTAAAGATAGTGGGATATCTTTAATTTTTAAAACAAAACATTAATGTCAAAATGAGGCCAAGAACTACTTTCAAGGTTGTTGCGTGTTGATTAAATGTACACCGTTCTTGGAACTGCTATGGAGCTTGACGCCCATTCAGATTTTAACTCTTTTATCGACAAAGCCGACAACCCTTAACCTTGTTTGTTGATTAATCACTCCAGCTTTAATTAGATTTTGGCCCCAAGTATGACCACTATGCTAAGCGGCAGTCTCTTTACTGTATCATCTTCATGAGCCCATAATAGTCCACGGCTGGAATTGCCTTCTTCCATTGTACGGAGGATTCACCTTAATTATCAAGCTTTTCATGGTGAAATGACAATCTTATTACCAGAGCCTTCGGTATATCGCCAGCTGTCTAAAGCCATGAATTTTATTTAGCGCTTCCCATGGTCACCTTTTAAGACACTCACTGAACACAATAGAGCTATGGATTTGCTTACGCAGCCACCGCAAGGGAAGTATGTAAAGTTAATAGTACGAGTATATATTAAAATTACTTTTTTTACAAGTAAGAGTGACTACCGATCATACGTTCCACCTGTATGTGCAGTTAGGTAAAGTACTATGGCTAATTGACTATCAATTTTTTACGTGGTAGAGCCACGTTGCAGCTATATTATGGTTGTAGCACGAATGGGTCGACTCGACCGGGGAAGGACCACGCTTTCACAGAATACCAGCGTAAAATATCGGCCTAATACTGCTGTGTTTCCTATGGTGAGTAGGTATAGAGAGCCGGAGACCCTTATTTACTGGAAACGTGGCGTTCGATCTTAGTCCTCAGGGGTGACAACGTACCTGCGTATTGATTCTTAATCGAGGATAAATGTAGATGTCTATGGGCCACAGCATCCAGTTACCATCAAGTGGACTGATTGCTCGTTTGTCACCCTTATTCTACAAAATAAAAAATACATAATATCATTATATTTTTTTTATCTTCACGCACAATCCTTAACGGGGTAGCCAGAGAGAACAGATCGCCAAGTGTCACGATCCTTACATACCTCTGGTATTTGAAAAGGACGAAGAGAGAACGAAATGTGAAATATGGGTAAATCAAGAATGTCTAGAACAGGTAAATGAAATTGTATACTTGGGGAGTGCTTTCAGCCGGGATGGAAGATGTGATTTAGATGTGGATAGGCGTGTCGCTGCCGGAAACAAAGTCAATGGTGCCCTGAATGCATTAGTAAAAAGGCAAGGCGTGGTGAAGAGTGCACGCCTTGCAATACATAATGCAGTGTTGGTACCGACTTTGTTATATGGCAGCGAAACCTGGGTATGCCAGAAGAAGCATAAAAGCAAGTTGAATGCAGTGGAGATGCGATCTCTTCGTAAAATGTGTAGCGTTACCTTAGCCGACCGAAAGCGAAACGAAGAGATTCGCAATATGGCAGGATTGAAAGATGACCTTATCACAAAAATTGATAGGGGCGTACTCCAATGGTTTGGGCACGTTGAACGAATGAGTGAAGACCGAATGGTGAAGAAAATATATAGAGCGAAAGTAAATATTAAAAGGTGTCGAGGTAGACCGAGACTAACTTTCGAAGACCATGTGAGCAAATTGCTCGAAGAGGGGAGGGTCAAGAGTACTCGGATACCTAGACGTGGATGTATGAAGAAGTTAATGAACCTGAAAGAAGCGAAAGAGGTATGTAAGGATCATTATCTTCGACTAAGAATATAAAGACGAATGCGTCGTTATCCCCGACTAAGATAGAATGACTAGGTAAGGCGTAAAAGGAGGCTCTGTCTGTCTGTGTCTGCTACAAATCGTTTGACACTTTATTTATTTATACAAAAAAAATTGAGTTGCTTCTAGTATTATATAAGGGTTTACTTATATAAAGCGGCACTAATGCAATGTTGGACCATAGGTGCGAAATCTTATCGCATTCCTAAAAAATAATAGACGTTGGTGCCCCTGGGCCGCAGCATCTCCGTTCCAACGGGTGAAACGTTTGTATAAAAAACATTAGGCAGTTTAATCAGCACTTGTAAAAATTTAACACATGGTCACTATATAACTTAATTATATAGATAACATTCGTAATTGTAACTTTTGTATAACTTACCACTTCTGCTTCGACGGAGGTGTTTGCTTTCTTCATCCTCTGTCTTCTCATCGGTTTGAGGTACGCTCGTTACTGGCTGCAAGCACTTCAATATTAATTCAATTTTAAAAATTAGTTTGTAATTTTACAATACAATTTGAAATAGATTATAAATATTAAGGTAATTTTTTTTATTGAGGACGGAACAGATTGATTTTTATTACAAACGTCTACTTATCGGACGGGTACGATGATTTATTTTCCATGGTTTTAAGAGCTTGAAATAGGTCTATACAAAATAAAATAATTTTTAATTTTTATATGTTTATATATGTGATACATATAATTAAAGCTAATAATATTTATTTACTTATACTTAGATACTTTTTATCCATAATGCAGTGTTTCTAAAATTAATAGTGTTTTCTCCCTATTCAGATTTGTAAGACAGGCAAATATTTTAAGATATTTTTATAAATAATACAATTTATATTACATATACCCCTGATAAAATATGACAAATATACCCCTCCCTATGGGGAAGGCGTATGTTCAACACTGGAGTTTTTACAGGAGGTAATGGAAATGATACTAATGAAGACCACACGTACTTGTCATTAAATAGTGTCAACTATTCGAATATACTGGATGATCTTTTTTACCGTCTGGAAAAAAATTGTGTGTAACAGAAGATCGTAATAGAAGCTTATGGCACTGATATTTTACAATTTTTTACATTAACATATTATGAAATTGATCTATCAATAAATGTAAAATATCAGTGCCATGGGCTTCTTATTCCGTTCACCTATTACACCCTATTTTTTCCAAAAAGTAAAAAAGATCACTAGTATAACAGCTTCAGCACAAATTTTCTGTCTGTTTCAGTGATATGAACTAGTTTTAATGGGCACGTAAACTAAAGTACCAACAGATGGTTTAAAGTTGTTATTCTGACGAGCCACTTCGAGGTCGCGCAATTCTGTTGCCCTTCGATAGCGCCGCTCCAAATATCCTTCGTAGAATGATGCTATCAACATCCATAATGCGACTATCAGCACAACCGACCTATGAAATAGATAAAACATATAAATCTTATATAAAAGAGCCCTGAGTCTCTTCACTCTCAATCTCGATGTTCGAGGCTTTATCAATTTTTTAAAGCAAATTGTATTTGAAAATTACCCAGGTATTATCAATTTCTAAATCAGAACTCAAAACAGTGTTTTAACTCTTCAATTCCCATAAAATTCCCATGCAGTCGCATGTGCTTAGCAAATCCCGAGGCGTCGCATGCGACCGCACCCACCCACAGCACTTAAAACCATTAAAACTTTTATTTAGAGACTACTTTTCTATGAAGAAGTTTTGCAAATTAAAATCTATACAAAGTTCTCTATTCTGTAGTCTAAACAAAAGTCAGATTTTACTTCGTTACAAAAAGATTTTATTGTATTTTGATAGACAAAAAAAACATACCAAGCGGATGTCAGCGGCGTGAAAATCACAATTATTTCTATATATTACTCGAAATTATTTACGCAAAAAGATAAATTATATTCACACAAAAACTTTTATAACAATATTGTAATAAAACACTATTAAAATACTAGAAAAATCTAAAAATCAACACAACAACATCCAAATGAAAATTGCATACATAATGAAAGTAGAATATAAATTAATATCCTTAGACTATTATGAGACCATAGATTATATTATGCCAAACTTCTTTATGGAAAAGTAATCTTTAAACAAAAAAATTTAAGTGTTAAAGTGCTGTGGGTAGGTGCGGTCAAATTTCAGCTCTTGAACTTTAACGAAATATCAAAGCGAACAAATTTGGACGCTTGGCGTTTGAGAGGTTAAGTAAAAAGGTATTTCCATAAAAGAAAAAAGTTAAAGAATGGGTATTTATGTCTACTAATTCCTACGTAAAAGTACTGGTAGTAAAATAATAAAAAGGATTACAAAAATACCCTACAAAAAATTAAACTTTATATAATTAAACATAATTTATAAATACTGTGTACTTAAAGAACATTCCGGTAACATTAAAAAATATTTCAAATGTATTTTTCTGCGCTAACATATATCGTCAATTATATATTATTAATGTAGTAATACCCAAGAATTTGCACTTTAATATCGGCGAGTAAATCATAAGGTCCGGGCACGGGACGGACGTAGAGAGTTCGGATGGAGGCTGCGATACCATTTGCTTCAGCTCGTTTTTCTGCTGCTACCTCAGATGCTTCTAGCACTGTTGCAATGTCGCTTCCATTGCAAGACGCTGGCATGCATTGGCCAACTAACATCAGTCTACTCTGCAAATAATAATTATCGTTAGATTTGTGCACCAGAATTTTTGGTTTAATCGCATTTAGTTTTGAACACATTTCAAGAAAAGAGGAGATTAACAATCATCTGAAAATTTCCGCTTTTTTAATGAATGTAGCACGATATCCTGAAGATTTCTTTCCATAGCTGTGTTATATAATTTTTACAGAAACAGTATGAGTTAAATGACGTAAGTTTATTTTTTTTAAACAAAGTGTTTGTCTTTACTAAACGTAGTCCAAATAAAGAAATATAAGATTACGTTAGTGTAATTGTGATGTAACTTTACGATATTTAAGTTCTGATATATTAAGTTCCTAACATACTCCAACATTGATTCATAAACTAATTTACTTTACTAATAAAAGAGCTTAATTATTACAAGTTATACATTTACACAAGTTCCTGACTATGCTGGCTTATAAATGAAAATTTTATGTTTGATTTCCTGCGTGGACTTTTATTTTCACGTAGCAAAATACCCCGTGTGTTAATCAAGGATATGGTCGATCAGTGTGCCAAATTCGGTATAGATTTGTTTAGCCGTTTTTGTGTGATTTAGAAACAATATTTTCACAAACTTCACTTCTGTAATATTTATTTATACAGATATATACTCGTCTTATATTTTTTTACTACATTTGGGATTAATAATCATAAATATCCGCGCAATAGTTTTTGTCATTTGTCTTAAGTCAAGGCTTTATGACGTAGCATTATGCATGTCATAATCTTCATAAAAATGTTGTTTCATAAATAAATTTGCTTTTGGAGAAGTGAAGGCACACTTCACAACTTTCATTCTAAGGTTTCCTGTCACTGGCAAATTCTTAGGCCCTTGTTCAGAACAATTTGTCACGCTCTAGCAACGATGTGTCACGAAAGATCAAATACATAATGCGAACAAAAATCAACTTTGTCAAGTGTGCAAATTTTATGAATGGAGGCTTTTCAATATAATGTTTTAAGTAACTAAGAAATGAGTGCGTAAAAATGATTTACTTGTTGTTATTGCATTTATATTCATTCATTGTATACACGCTATCAAAGCCCACTGGTGTATACAGGCCTCCACACAGATTGCTTCATACGGCAAACATTAATTTGTCAAAGTTACAAATTATGCACACTCGAACCCGAAACGAGTGAGATTAGGCTTTACTATCGACCCTACCCGCTCTCATTCTTATAAATTCAGTATAATACTATTTTTATATCACACTTTTAGGTAAAAAAGCACATTAATATTAAAAGTGAACGCTGATGAATATAACCGATGCTTTTATTTTATTAAATATGTAAAAAATTATTGGATGTATTCGAAAACTTTTCTCTAAGTATTAACATTTCTTGCAATATTGTGCTGCACCCTAACATATGAAAGAAAGACGCTTTCCGGGCCGAAAATGATAGTTTATCTATTCAAAATCACCGAAGCCAAACTAAATACACCGATGGTGATGAGCAACATTAATTTTGCGAGGGTATCAGCTCTACGCTCACCAAAGCGTCTGCCTAGTGTGGTAAGTTTGGGTAAATCTTGTAAAACATACCTTTTAGTACTTTCTTAGAAACGCTTTTATCCTGTTGAAGACCTACAAAGGATATCGTAGGATATCGTAGGATATCCAAGGTGAGAAAAATAGATTACGAAAGGTGAAAACTATAAAAGCATAAGTGTTAAAAGATTTATTTATCCTTTTTATTGTGTGTAACACCTAATTTCATAGTATTACTAAGGGCGGACTTAAGGTCTATTGGCATTCTCTCCTATTCAATAAAGGATTATGGCGAGTTAACTTAAAGAACATTAATAAGAAATCATTTTTAATCCATTTTTTATATCCTGGGAGTTCCTGTCAAATTATAATAAATTAAAAAGTAGCCGTGCTGCGACCAAAATAAAAAAAAACATTTTGCTCTATTAATATAATACGTAATATTATTACAAAGTTATTTATTTGCCAGCCTAATTCCTCTAAATCCGAAGCAAATTTCAAACTCGTTTTACAAATATATTCTGCTCTTTATAATCGGAAACAGAATTATAAAATACTCGTTCCGGGATAGAATATTTAAAACTTGCTAATTAAATATTTTTGTTTACACAATGCGCATTTATCGCCATAACAATAAGTTTAAGATTTTTTTACTGAAACGTAATTTTAGAAGGAAAATATAATTTTAAAAGCGTTTAAATATACTGTCAAGAATTTACTTTCTAAATGTCTTTATTCATTTGTATGCAGATTATTAAAATTATCAATGTTTCGTATGGTGAATAACGAGAAACGGATACCCTTTTTAATGTTAAGGAGACATTCTGTCTTAGTCCTAAAGGATGACAATGCATCTACAATTTTGACGTAGATATATATGATCCAGAGTATTTTTTACTTTCATGTGGACCGTGTGCTAGTTTTCAGCCTTAACTTCGATAAACTGGGCCTCTCTCGGATGATATATGACGGTATCAATTCAATATCCATTTCAAAATGGACTGAGTATGGGAAGCACATTACCAGTGCAAAAGTGTCTACTCTGCATTTGCCTGACTTGTACATAAGTCAACCTTGTAGACTCTCGCGTTCTTAGATATTTCTAAGTAAATTTGATAGTAAATCAAAAGGTCTGATAAAAATAAGAAATGTCCATAAGAAAATCATCTAAAATATTTGTATCAATATATACACTAGGTATGCAATATGTAAAGAGCGATATCTTCCAAAAATTAATATTTAATAGATTTAAATTAAAAAAAAACTAATTTAATTTCGATGAAGGTGCTTAACAAATATTTACCATAGGTATATGGTCAGCATCCACAGTCAGATTCATCTTGGCCACAAAGAATGTAGTTTCGAAGGGCGGTGTCTGCGCATAGTACTGCTTCAGTAGCAGGTCACGGCAAGCATTTAGCGATCCCAGCCAGTACTCGTTTCCGAAGAGTATATTCGGGCTATACTGTCCCGATGCGTCAAACACTGTGAAAAAACCTTTTATCAAAAAAGTATTTGAATAAATCTTTGCTGATTAGCCTAGCTATCAACTTCGTGGGAAATGTTATAGAGCCAAAAGTGTACGCACCAACAAAGAAACATTCAGTCTTTCTAAGCTTACCTAATCCTGGAATCATAGAAGGTGGAAGGACACCTTCTCTGTCTGGGGTCCATCTGGGTAGATACCAGAATCTTGCCTATTTCTACCGGCCAATAGCAGTGCGTGCACTGTTTCAGTCTGAAGCGTATTGAGATCCAGTATAATTGTAGGCTGGAAGCACTACACATTACTGTTATGTGACAACGCGCTACTGTACGTGTAGCCTTTTTGTTTGTAGTTGCTTACCATCAGGTGGACTTTCAGTTCTTTTGCCGTTTCAATTCTTTAAAAAAATATTAATTCAAGACTACATAGCTGTTACCCGTTCGTTTCGCTGGGCGTATATTTATATTTGCTATTTCGTTTGAATTATTTAAAACAGTATCCTATGTTCCGTTCCACGACATAATCCACTTCGATTATCATTACAATAATTCCTTATTTCTAGTCTTATTCCTATTCTAGTTTCAATATATAGACAAGACAAGATACAAAGCAGTTAATGATTTCTTAAATTTACGCGAACACTACACATTGAATAAAACTAAATTTACGGATTTTATCGCGTTTATTTCACTACTTTTACTTATTTTTAATTCCCGACGTTTCGGGTGCTTTACAGCAACCATGGTCACGGGGGGGGACTGAGATGTTTGACGTCCCAATGTCATAGTCAAAAACTGAAGGTAGCCGGACTAACTCTAAGGGTACCACAATTTGGATAAGAAAAGTTGTAAGTTGTTATATGATAGTGCGCGATAGTTCTGTAAACTTAAACTGCTTAAAACAATCTTCCAATTTATTTTTGCAGAATCAGCACTTTTATCCCTTATACCAGCAGAAAGTTTGTACATTCAGAAATCTGTTATTACATGTTCGTCACAATAATGTAAACTTTTCTTATCCAAATTGTGGTACCCTTTGGCAAGCAACCAAGGTATTTTTGCAGCCATAAAAATAAATAACAATGTTTTGACCATATTTTAACTTACTTTTCGGTTCGGTTTTAAGTATCAAAGTTTTTAAGCATTTGACGGCTTTGCGGCGCGGTGACTGTGTATTAATTTTAATTATAACTTGAGAGATTACGATTTCACGTATTGACATTGAAAAATTTTCTATACAATTATTGAATCAGAATGTGAGTCAGATTTAGTGAAATGAATTGAAATGAATGATTTTATTCAATATAGATTATTATATAGTACTTATTGCAAATAATTTTTTTTAATTTACCACCGGTTCGCTCTGTACCCTTACTCTCATAATCCGATGGGACGGTAAACCGACACAACCGGAGAGAGAACAGGCGCAGGACCAACGGCTTCACGTGCTTTCCGAGGCACTGGGTGAGACACTGCCAACTTTCCTGACATCGGGCAGCTACTGAGAATTTCTTGATGAAAAAACTCAATAAACTGATTTTTTTGATCCGACCCGGGATTTGAACCCAGGACCATATGATCAGCAGTCACACTACTACAATTACTAGACCAACGAGGCAGTCAAATACATACAATTAGATGTTTAAATGTGCCATTTGCTGGCAACGTAAAAGAATCTATCACCACATTTTGTTACATGGGTGTCAAAAGAAATGGCTACTGGAAAGATTGGCAACCGAAAATCTAATAGCTTCTGGTAGATGACAGTACGATCTCGAATGTGGCATGTGTAGATTACCCTGGCCGGAGACGGAAAGCAGCAGCAATGTTAGAGACATCCAATATCTCGTACTAGTACTGTACCAACATGGTTGCTAAGCGTGGCCATTACGGGAAATCCTTTCAACAACCTGATAGGGCCCGAGTAAATGAATGGAGAGTTACGGTTCGCTAAAAATGCAAAGTGGTAAGATCATCAAAAGCAGAAAGAGAATAATGCATACGTGCTTATAATTGAATACTACACATCGGCGTGTGAACATGTTATTATCATAATAGTTTACGACTTTCCTTATTGTCTATTATCGTTTCGTTAAATGACAATCATCTCTATATTTGTCTTTTTTCTTGAAAGAGAGCTAATTCAAGCATTACTTAAATTGACGTTTTGTTTTAAGAGTAATGCTCAAATATTTTAACACTATTCAATTTTAAGATCATCAAAAGCAGAAAGAGAATAATGCATACGTGCTTATAATTGAATACTACACATCGGCGTGTGAACATGTTATTATCATAATAGTTTACGACTTTCCTTATTGTCTATTATCGTTTCGTTAAATGACAATCATCTCTATATTTGTCTTTTTTCTTGAAAGAGAGCTAATTCAAGCATTACTTAAATTGACGTTTTGTTTTAAGAGTAATGCTCAAATATTTTAAGACTATTCAATTTTAAGATCATCAAAAGCAGAAAGAGAATAATGCATACGTGCTTATATTTGAATACTACACATCGGCGTGTGAACATGTAATTATCATAATAGTTTACGACTTTCCTTATTGTTTATTATCGTTTCGTTAAGTGATAATCATCTCTATATTTGTCTTTTTTCTTGAGAGAGAGCTAATTCATGCATTATTTAAATTGACGTTTTGTTTTAAAAGTAATGCTCAAATATTTAAACAATATTCAATTTTAAGATGCCATAGTCTCGTGCTATCTTTACCACTTTAAGTCATGGTGACTGTAACACCACAAGAGTTAACGACATCTTAAAATTGAGTAGAGTCAGAATAATTGGTAATAAGACCGATAGTATTTAAACATTAAGGTGGATATACCATAGTATAGGATAATACATACATAATAGAACGGGGGAGTGGGCGGAGCCCGTGTAGCCACTAAAATGTCACGACATGTCATTCACACGTATAACTGTCAACACGAGATGTGTTTTGACGTAACAATCGTTTCCAAATTTCGCATGCAAATTATTTTGAAAATGCCAAATTGCACACTATTTGCAAATAAATATGTATTAAAATTTAAACGACTTTTAATGACGATCTTAAACATTAATCAAAAGTCTAAAATGTTTAAATTTACTCAGTCTGTCAATACAGCGAATCGGGTTTGTAGTAGTGATAATACGACGTAATTGCTGATATGTGTGCTCCCGGCGACACCGACACTCGCAAAAAATAAAGTTGACAGCCATTCTATTGTGTATTATAGTATTCTATGAGATATTCAATAATAACCGTATGGTGGTGGTATCATAAGAGATGACTTAAGGAAATGTCCTATTGTCCTCTAGACTCGCATTGTTGCATTGCATTGGCTATGTAAATTATGGATATAAGAATGTCTTCCTTTATAGAATGAGTGTGCCAAACGAGCTCACAGTCCTAATAGTACGTGGATGCTGTGGCCCATAGACATCTCTATTTATCTTTGATTCAGAACAAAAATGCAGATGCGTTATCACCCCTGAGGACTAAGATGGAGTGCCTCGTTTTCAGTATAAAGGGTCTCCGGTGCTCTACACTTACCATAACATATTAAGCTGCTATTTCACGCTGGTATTCTGTGTATAAATTGCTGGTATAGCTGCAGACAAATTATGCAGAAAAAGACTAAAGATAATACATGGAAACTTATTCTTGGATGCAGACTAAATACGTTATTTTTACGCGGTTCAGCCGTGATGTGGCGTACTTTAGCTGGAATGTGAATGGAGCGATTGAACCAGAGTTGAACCACGCTCGCAGAGTATAGCAGTGTGCAATAGCAGCATAATATTGTATTTCGTAGGAGTAACCAGAACCAAGAACGCTTTTTGTTTGGTAACGAGGTATTTCCTCATAGTCCTCAGGGGTGACAAAGCATCCACATTTTGATTCTTAATGAAGGATAATTTAATTAAAAGTATATGGGCAACTACATCCACTTACCGTCAGGTGAAATTTGTACTGACTAGTTACCTTTACTTCTAAAAAAAATATTGGTTGACCCTGCAGGCCATCCCTGGAACTTCCCGCTAATTTCAAATGGAAAGCGCTCCAAATTTCACCAAATTATGTTGCGGAATCTCGAAGTTATGTTAAAAAAAAAGTTTTTTCCAATTTCTTTTTCCTTCGATATCTCACGAACGAATGAAACAATTTTTATTTTCCAAACGGCATTCGACGTCATTTTTGAAGTTAAGAGCTGATTAGTTTTACAAATCGATCGGTAAAGCCGTTTAAAAGTTATTCCAAAAAACAATTTTTCAAAATTTTTATATTAGAGATTTCTCAAAATCTACTCGTCCGAATCAGTTCATATTATCACCAAATCTATTCCCCATTGAGATCTTTAGAACCGCATCTCAATCGATCAAGACGTTCAAAAGTTATGAAAGGTTTACATACACACACACACACACACACACACATACATACATACATCCGTAAGGACGTCCACGTGAAATTAGTCAGAATACCTTCCTGGGATCTCAAAACGTCGAGATATGGTGACATCATTATTAAGCTGCTATATTACTCTGATATTCTTTAGCCCATTCGTGCTACAGCCATAATATTATCTGTGTTATTATTTGTATATTTCCATATAGATTGATGGCAATATAACATTTTTATGCTGGAGATTTTTTTTAGTTTTATTTTAAGGTACGTGTGTTTCGTCACTTTCCTAAGACCTTGTATGTTTAATGCGCAAAGGCTGTGGCAAAATAGTAGGACTGATGGGTTTCCCGTTATAGCTGAGTCACAGACCGTTTAAAATAAGGTTTAATGTTACAGCCTTCATACGTCCCACTGCTGAGCACAGACCTCTTCTCACTTCTGATAGGGTTTTAGTGCAAGGAAGTGTCCATCGCGCTGCCCCAATGCGTGTTAGTGGACCTCATATGGCTCAGAAATAAGTATATTTTTTTATTTACCAGACATAAAGGTTTCTTCACCGCCGAACATGTGGTAAATCTGTACTGAAAATT